AATATCGGTGTGGGGACGTACGCTGCTCGTATCTCAAAGTGGGAATCACCTTTAAGGCTTTCCGCTGAGAACGGGAAGGAGGGGGGGGGGGGGGGCGGCTGCAGCACCCACCCGTTCAGGACGTTGCGTCCTCGCTTCACTGGTAATTCACTGACGCTGCGTCCGTCCCTCTCTCTCTCTCTCTCTCTCCCCCCCCCCCCCCCCTCCTCCGGTATGTTAGAGACGTGTCCCTCTGGGCTACACTTGACGTGCTTTTTTGTAAGCGGTGTTGTGAATTAGTGCGATACTTCAACTTCGGAGTCTCCGTTTTTCAGCATCATGATTTGTCGCATTTGTCGGCACTATTGTTGCCTATGCAATGTCAATGTTATATTCCATTGTTGTCAACAGCGCTTGTTGATCGACATCGAGGTCACGATCTTCATGGCTGTGACTTGATGTTAGCGATGATCGCCACCAAACGAGCAGTTAGTTGAAAGACAACGATTTCTGTTACAGACACGTATTTATTTCGGATGTACCTGCATTTGATGGCTTTATGGTGCCCGCGTCAATGCATGATATTATCGCGTTCTGCTGAGCATTCATTCATAACAATGAGTGGTGCCAACCAGGAGCATAATTTGTGTGCATCCGTATGAAACTGCCCGTTAGCAGCGCCCAGGCGTCGGTCGCCCTCGACTGAAATTCTGCAGTGTGTTACCAGTTATATACCGGACAGGGATGAGTTGACCGAACTGGCTGTAAAAAGCAATGCGCCACTCATGGTGTCTTTGTTGGGAGGCTACCGGGCTTTTGATAACGCCCGATTTCGCGTCGACGGCCTTCTGATTCGGTTTCATCCGACCTCCTTCCTCGATGAGCGACCGTTGTACGGTTAGCTTGTCGCCCATCTCATGGGCGATTTATTTGGCCCGAGTGGGTGATCTCTGGAGGCCGCCGCTGCTGTTTTGGTAAGCTCACCTTCCTGTCAAATATCTGTTCCCGCTGTCGGACGGCCGCATGCCCCGTGTCCATGGCGGACACTGCCCGGTGCATTGACGCTGTACGTCCTCGCCCCGGCGCCGCGGAGCGCGGAGGGGGGGGGGGGGACGAGACTGATCGGCCGCGGCGCTGCACCGGCTCACCAGCGCTGCCTGCCGCGGCCAGCGGCTCGCGGCAGCGCCGGCGCCGACTGATGACCGGCCGCGCACAGAGCCGGCAGGAACACGTGCACCTGAAGCCGGCGGCAGACGACCCCGTTCAGCAGGGCCCAGTACTCGCGACCTGTAGCGTGGCCGCGGCAGGGCAGCGGTGGCGCCGCGCAGCTCCTCTTCAGCGCTGCTTCCGTTCCGCCCTCTGTCCTCGCGAGCTCGGCGCGGGCCGCCACCGCCACGTCCTCGGCTGCCCCGGCGCGTTTTGCGTTTCCCGTGCCGTTCTCCGTGACCTCGGCGGTGTCCGTGACCTCGGTGGTCTCCGCTCCGGTCTCCGCGCCACCGGCTGAGTCGTCGCTGTCCCTGCGGTCCCGACTGCCGGCGGCCGCGATGCGCCGGCCCACCAGCAGCGCCACGGCCGGCCGGCGCTCGGTCGGCGGTGCGGCGCGGCGCCGCGGCCGCACTGCGCCCGGCCACCGCCCGCCCTGCCGCGCTCCACCCGGCGACCCGGCAGCGGGGGCGGGGGACTCGGGCGCTGCCGCGGCCGGCGGCGGGTCGGGCGGGGCTGCCGCGCGGCTGCCGGCGGCCGGCGTCAGCTGCAGCGCCAGCAGCCGTCGCAGCGCCGAGAGCTCGGCCTGGTCGTCGCGCCGGCGCCGGCCGCTGTCCGCCAGCAGCGCGCGGAGGCTGCAGGTGCGACAGGCGGCGATGGCACAGCAGGCTGAGAGCAGCCGCTCTGGCTCGCTCCGCGTCTCCACCTCCCCGGCCGCCGCCCGCCCGACTGCGGTGTGGGCTCCCGGGCCGGTTGAGCGAGCGGTGGCGGACGACAAGCTATCGGCGATGACGGCCTCGGCGGCGCCCTGGCGAGTCTCGGCCGGCGCTGGTCGCGCCAGCCGCGCGCCCACATACAGTCGCTTAGCGGCGCTGGCCCAGCGGCAGCGAGCCGGCTGCCGGCCGCCGGCCTCCAAGGCAGCCATCGGCCCGGCGCTGACTTCAGAGGCGCCGGTCCGGCCGGCCGGCCGCCGCTCTGCGCTAGATCAACGGGGAGGGAGGGAGGGAGGGAGGGAGGGAGGATGGGTGGGTGGGAGGGAGGGAGGGAGGGAGGGAGGGAGGGAGGGAGGGAGGGAGGGAGGGAGGGAGGGAGGATGGGTGGGTGGGAGGATCCCGCACCGCCGAGGCGACTACAACCGCAAAAGCAACAAGCGCACCAGGGAGGGCCGATACGGCGTCAGCTGTGGCGCGCCACGGCCGACTCGTGCCGGCCCGTGAAGACGCGATCCGTGGTCCGTGGTCCGTGGTCTGTTGCTCCGATCTGTGCACCGTCAGCGATCTGGTGCCCGCACCGCCGCCGACGTCGGCGGTCCCGGTCGGCGGTGAGGTCTGCCCGACGTGCTCGGTTCCACCGGCCCACACCGGCGTCACGGCTCGTGTGTGTTGAGGCGGTGGAAGTCGGCTCGTGCTGACGGCGGGCCAGACCACGGCCACCGGCGGCGCTGGCTCGCCGCGGCGGGCCGGCTGTCAGCGGCCCTCTGTCGGCGCGGGCGGCGACTCACGTGCCCCGTCTCGGGCGACGGCGGCGGTCCGACTGTTGGGTGCTGCCGGCCCGGCCGCCCCCGCCGCCTCCCGTTCGCCGCTCCGGTCGATACGCGCCTCTCTCAGACCACCCACCCATTGGCGGGTCGGGTCACGACCCCGGGTCAGTCTCGCAGGCTGAGAGTGTGGCCACTGTCATGTTCTCGGCTGACGGCCGGATGCTTTAATATATGCCTTTGGTTTACTGCGCCACCTCGGCGTTCCTCAAACAGGCTTCTTCGGGCGCTGTGTGTTTGGGTTTGAAGTACTGACTGTTTTCAATGGGTTCTGCTTCCTGTCGGAAATCGAGGAATAGGGCCCTAAATTAGATTTTTATCTCATATTTGTCGTGCAAAATTGCTATGGTTTGCGGCTGATGGCGTGTTTTTATTGCTTCAAAGACTTGGACTGTTCTCTGCACGTGTCGAAGGATGCCATGACCAATATTTCGTAAAAAGTTCCTCTGCGTGCCCAGCAATGCTGGTAGACGCCTATCCGCACATCTCGGAACCTTCCGACGCTTCGCAATGCGGTGCCTGCTATGATGACCAGTCATCAGTCACTGTTGGCATGACTGCAGAGTCCCTGGAATTATATCCGAGCGTTGTTGGTTAGTGCAGTATATTACAATAGACTTGTTAAATTTCATTCAGGGCTTTACGCATGCAGTTTGTTTACTGCTCTGCCTCTTGTGTGGACTAGTCTAACTCGCGCCATGCTAAAACATCGCGGTCATTGGCTATATCCTCTTCATTGGCGTTTTCAGCTGTCCGCCCTGAGCGATGCGTGCTTCCTATCGCTACCAGTGCGGATGTGTGGGTGTCCTGTGGCGCGTGCCCGTGTCCGGCGTGCTCCTGCCCATGCACCGCGGTAGCCTTGGAGCCGGCCCCCCTCCCCCCCACCGTCGGTTCGGATGTGTGGGTGTCCTGTGGCGCGCGCCCGTGTCCGGCGTGCTCCTACCCATGCGCCGGGGTAGCTCTGCGACCCCCCCCCCCCCCCCCCCCCCCCCCGCCGTCGGTTCGGATGTGTGGGTTGTCCTGTGGCGCGCGCCCGTGTCCGGGCGTGCTCCTACCCATGCCCGGGGTAGCTCTGCGACACCCCCCCCCCCCCTCCCACCGCGTCGGTTCGGAGTGTGGGGTGTCCTGTGGCGCGCGCCCGTGTCCGGCGTGCTCCTACCCATGCGCCGGGGTAGCTCTGCGACCCCCCCCCCCCCTCCCCACCGCCGTCGGTTCGGATGTGTGGGTGTCCTGTGGCGCGCGCCCGTGTCCGGCGTGCTCCTACCCATGCGCCGCGGTAGCCTTGGAGCCGGCCCCCCTCCCCCCCCCCCCACCGTCGGTTCGGATGTGCGGGTGTCCTGTGGCGCGCGCCCGTGTCCAGCATGCTCCCACCCATGCGCCGCGGCATCCCCAGGGCCGGCGACCCCCCCCCCCCCCCCCCCTCCAGTCGTCGGTTCGGATGTGTGGGTGTCCTGTGGCGCGCGCCCATGTCCGGGGCAGTCCCTTCCCTCGGCAACAGCCCGCTGTCTCGTGCCGGCTCATTGCCCCACTGTGGGTGCCGTTTTGGCTTTGTCCCCGGAGGTGATGAAGCCGGTGATGATTGGGCTCTTGTCGGCATCGATTACTCGCTCGGTCTGGAGCTCACCGCCTCCGCCGTGACCTGGCGCCGGTGTTGCTCGGGGAATGCCTAACACAGTGATGCTAACTGCCACAGACTTGGATTGCGCTGCAAGATGGGAGCCGCGTACTTAGTGCTGCAGAAAAAGCATTGTGATTGATAAGGGCATATGTATGTTAGGCTTTTTATATGTACTGTCGTTTTCCCACCGGACTGTCACAGCTGTGTACCGTACGTTGCAGGACATGGTTGGGACTGATAAAAGGATCTACCTATAGGAGTGCGAACGAAACTGTATCGCCGGTCGTAGGTGAAAAGCTGTCTCATCACAACAGGATTCCAGCTGTTAACTGGAGCTTGGGACGGGGAGGGGAGAGAGACAACTGTCTGCCTCGCCCGGCGAGGGAGATCAGATCATCGGCACAGGCACAGCTCGAAATTCCAGCGACACATCCCGCCCCAGCCGAACCCGACCATGCGCTCCCGTACCAAACCGGTCACGAGCGCCCCGTACTGCCGTGTCGTGACGGGCGCGCTGAACTTTGCGTGGCGCCGCTCCAGCCATGCGGCACCCTGCTGGCGTGTTGTCGGCTGCCAGGCTGGCCCCGCTCTGCACCGTGCCAGACACGCTGTCCTGTCGCTGTAGAGTCACAGCGGGCCGACCCTGCTTCCGTTGTGTTTCAGGACACGCTGGCCGCACTGGAGTCGGTGGCGCCGCACGTGTCGCCCAAGGTGCTGTGCGACTTGCTGTCGTTTGCGCTGACCGTGAACGCACCGGAGACGGCCGAACTGGGCCTGCCCGACTTTCCCGTGGACAATCTGCGCCGCGCCGTCCGCGTGCTGGTGAGCCGCCGACCGCGCTCTGGAGGGAGGCAGCCCCCAGTGAGCCGTCCGCGTGCTGGTGAGCCGCCGACCGCGCTCTGGAGGGAGGCAGCCCCCAGTGAGCCGTCCGCGTGCTGGTGAGCCGCCGACCGCGCTCTGGAGGGAGGCAGCCCCCAGTGAGCCGTCCGCGTGCTGGTGAGCCGCCGACCGCGGTCCGGAGGAGGCAGCCCCCAGTGAGCCGTCCGCGTGCTGGTGAGCCGCCGACCGCGGTCCGGAGGAGGCAGCCCCCAGTGAGCCGTACGGGGACCGGAGGTCACTGGGCACCGCAGCGGCTACTCATCTGGGAGGGCACCGGAGAACTGGAGCGGCGTGGGTGGGTCTTGGAAGGAGGAGCAGGGGGGGGGGGAGGGGGGGCGAGCTCTGGTGACCCATCAGACACAGGATTAGGCCGCCAGAGTGCTAGTTCACGGAAGGCACGATCTTTCTGACATCTGCAGCGGGAAGGCTGCTCGGAGGGGGTGGATTATTCGGCTGGGTATGTTAGTGTGTAATGTGGTGTGCATGTAAGACTGCGTAGATGGGGATGTCTTTTGGACGGTGGGGATTTTGTGGAGCCCGCTACATTCAGTTGTGGACGCTGCACCCGCTACAAGCACGTGGACGATGCACTGCACCAGCCAATACAACACGAAAAGCCATGATTTGAATGGACTCGGATATCGAAATAAGCTCGAATCAGTGCATCACCTCTGTGACAGCTGGCATCACCTCTGTGACATTAACCCCAGAGTATGTTGACGTTCTGGTGCCAGAAGGCTGACGTTCGGCCCCATCTGCGATCGGTGCTCGCCCCGCTCGTTACGTTACTCTCGCTGCCAGGCCGAGGCAGCGGCTCCCCCGCCCGGGCTGACGCGTGCCCCGGTGTGGCTGCCACAGGAGGCGGTGCCGCCGCTGCCGGCACAGGAGGCCGTGGCCCGGCTGTACCCGCACCAGCTGGTGCTGCCGCGCGAGGCCCAGAAGCCGGTGGCCGACGCGCTGGCCACGTTCGACCTGGAGCCGCCGGCCGAACCGGACGTGCGCGTGGCGGAGGTGGCGCCCGGCGGCCAGCCGCACACGGCCGAGGTGTGGCTGACGGCCGACGGCCACCGCCACCGACTCCAGGTGACCAAGCGCCCCGACAGGCCGCGTGCGAGGCAGGCTGGAGAGGCTCCTCCGGACGGTCCGGTCGTGTAGCGGAGTCCGCTATGGCGGCGGAAGCGCCACACGCTCGCTCAGTAACGCGCACGTGGAGGCAGGCAGTGCAGTCCAGTCTTGCTTGTCCGGCGAATGGTGTGCTGAGGATCGTGGCTTACGGTTCTGTATGCTTGTTCCTGAGATAAGGAACTTCGAATCCCAATAGTTCGGCACCGCCGGCCTGTTCATGTCCAGTGGTGCGGCCCTTTGCATCGCGGCAGTTTTTCCCGCTGTGATTCGTTCCTTTGCGTCTCCTCCTTGGTTTCCTCTCCCGTATGCGTCGAAGCGAGTGTCCTGTCGCCAGCTGTTATTTTGCCCACATATGTGACCGCGTGCCGTGCTTCAGACTGGACGCCACTGTGCTGCCATCTGTTGTGCATCAAGGATCGTGACGCTCGTTTGTACGTCCGTGGAGGCGTGCGAATACCACCCAAAGCATTCAGTCCCCCTCCTATCACGTGCACACCGTCTTTTGCTGGCCGTTACGGGGTGACAGTGCACGTCCGTTACATGTGCACGGCAGAGTGCACAGCAGAAAGTGCACGGACAATACGTATGCATGGAGGACAGAGCACGGCCGTTTCACACTGCCTTGACCCGCTGTACCGTGACTTGTGCCGGGCTGAGCCGCCGGCGCCGCCCTACCGCGCCTGCCGGCCATGAGCGGCACCTGTCCGTCCGCCAGGTGCCGGCCGGGGAGGCAGTGGGCGCCGGGCCGACGGCCGCCGCCGCCGCGGCGCCGGACTGCGTGCTGACGCCCTACCACGGCCGCCTGCTGGCCCAGCTGGTGGCCTCCCACGCCGCGCACGACATCTGCCTGGTGGGGCCGCGCGGCTGCGGCAAGTCGGCGCTCGTCCGTCACCTGGCCACCCTGCTCGGCTACGAGACGGAGCCGGTCGTGCTCTATCAGGTGGGCGGGGGCGGGGGAGGGAAGGGGGGTACGGGCCCGGCGGTGAGTGCGGCTGGTCGGCTGGTGCTCCCGAGACAGCCCGCTGCAAGGAGGATATCACAGCAACGGCGATCACCCGTGTGCCAGATGAAGCTGGTGGTTTGGTCACATGGAAGCTTTGCTTGACTTCCTGGTGAAGGAGGCTTATTGGGCGCCTGGTTTATTTGTTACATGTTGCCTGCAGCTACGTAGGGCAGCTTCGCTTCGCGATTGGCGCTGTTCTGATGTTTTTTGTGTGCGGTTCGAGCCGGATTCCTGTCCTCCGACGGGACATGACGTCACAGGACGCGTCGTCCCCGTCTGACGCGTCTCTGTCCTCCGACAGGACTTGACGTCACGGGACCTACCGTCTCCTGACGCGTCTGTCCTCCGACAGTACATGACACGGGACCTGCTGTCCTCTAACGCGTCTCTGTCCTCCGACAGGACTTGACGTCACGGGACCTGCCGTCTCCTATCGCGTCTCTGTCCTCCGACAGGACGTGACGTCACGGAACCTGCCGTCCTCCTGACGCGTCTCTGTGCTCCCGACAGGACATGACGTCACGGGGCCTGCTGTCCCCGTCTGACGCGTCTGTGTGCTCCCGACAGGACATAACGTCACGAGACCTGCCCTCCCCTGACTCGTCTCTGTCCTCCGACAGGACATGACGTCACGAGACCTGCCGTCCCCTGACTCGTCTCTGTCCTCCGACAGGACATGACGTCGCAGGACCTGCCGTCTCCTGACGCGTCTCTGTCCTCCGACAGGACATGACGTCGCAGGACCTGCCGTCTCCTGACGCGTCTCTGTCCTCCGACAGGACATGACGTCACGAGACCTGCCGTCCCCTGACTCGTCTCTGTCCTCCGACAGGACATGACGTCGCAGGACCTGCCGTCTCCTGACGCGTCTCTGTCCTCCGACAGGACATGACACGGGACCTGCTGTCCTCTGACGCGTCTCTGTCCTCCGACAGGACGTGACGTCACGGGACCCGCCGTCTCCTGACTCGTCTCTGCCCTCCCACAGGATATGACGTCAGGAGACCTGCTGCCCCGTCTGACGCGTCTCTGCCCTCCGAAAGGACATGGCGTCACGAGACCTGCCGTCTCCTGACTCGTCTCTGTGCTCCCGACAGGACATGACGTCACGGGACCTGCTGCAGCAGCGCGGCACCGAGTCCGACGGCGACACGGTGTGGCTGACGGCGCCTCTCGTCAAGGCGGCGCTGGAGGGCCGTCTGGCCGTGCTCGACGGCCTGCACCGCGTCCACGGCGGCACACTGAACGTGCTGCACCGGTGAGGGACGCGACCGGGCCCACAGCGAGGCAGGCTGCAGCTCCGCCACTCGACAAACCTGGGAACGAAGCTGAGCGTGCTGCACTGGTGAGGGGTGTGGCCGGGCCCGCAGCGAGGCAGGCTGTAGCTCCCCCACTGTCGACAAAGCTTAGCTTGCTACACCGGCGGAGGGTGTGGCCGGGCCCGCAGCGAGGCAGGCTGCAGCTCCCCCACTGTCGACAAAGCTTAGCGTGCCACACCGGTGGAGGGTGTGGCCGGGCCCGCAGCGAGGCAGGCTGCAGCTCCCCCACTGTCGACAAAGCTTAGCGTGCCACACCGGTGGAGGGTGTGGCCGGGCCCGCAGCGAGGCAGGCTGCAGCTCCGCCACTGTCGACAAAGCTTAACATGCTATACCGGTGGAGGGTGTGGCCGGGCCCGCAGCGAGGCAGGCTGCAGCTCCGCCACTGTCGACAAAGCTTAACATGCTATACTGGTGGAAGGTGTGGCCGGGCCCGCAGCGAGGCAGGCTGCAGCTCCCCCACTGTCGACAAAGCTTAGCGTGCTATACCGGTGGAGGGTTTGGCCGGGCCCGCAGCGAGGCAGGCTGCAGCTCCGCCACTGTCGTTAAACCTGGGAACGAAGCTGAGCGTGCTGCACCGTTGGGGGGGGGAGGGGGGGGGGGCGGCGGGGCCCCCAGCGAGGCAGGCTTCAGCTCGGCCACTGTCGACAAACCGGGGAATGAATGCAAGTTGGAACGTGCTGAGAGCACCTGTTTGTGTTGTTCTGTCTGAAGACGCGGTTTGAGCTGTCGGGATTCCTTTGGCGTCTTTGTTTTGGCTCGGATTTTTAACATTGCGAAATTATTTTTGCAAGGTATGGATCGCATCACAGGCTGGCGGGGGGGGGGGGGGGGCGGTGAATGCCATCATGACGCACTTTCGTAACGGTGGCGTTTTATTTCATAGCCTTGAGGCCGAAGCCAAATCGCGTAAACGGCAAAACGTCACATGTTGGGAATTGGTTGGGCTGAGCGTGGCATTTGAATTCAGAGCTGTCTGCTTGTTCAAGGAAAATCAGATTAGTACACCTGCTTTGGCAGGCGCCATCCCGCGGGGCGCCGCGCGCCGCCGCTGTACGTTTGGGATGAACTGCTATATTGTTGCATAAAGCTCCGTCGAAGCGGCCCCACGCTCTGCGCCCCGCGCTGCCATGTTGGAGTCCCTCGCGTTCGTCCTTTGGTTTCGTTTGTTACTCATGTTACCTGCATGTTGCCATTCACGTGGATGGCGGCCTTAAGGGCAGCAGCAAATCATGGCCAGTTATCCAGCGTCGCCTGGCTAACCGCGCACGGCCCGACAGACTGGTGCACGACCGGGAGCTCCAGCTGTACGACGGCACGCGCCTGCTGCGTCACGACCGCTACGATGACGTCATGGCCGAGCAGCAGCTGACGCCGCAGCAGATGACGGAGCGCGGAGTGTGGAGGATCCACCCGAGCTTCCGGCTGATGGCCCTGGCGGAGCCGCCCGTCATAGGTGAGGTGGAGTCCACAGGACTCATCCGAGTGTGGAAATCATGACGTTGTAGTCGCATGCATGTGTAACACTACCTGCAAACGCACAGACTGCTTGAGACGATTTATCACACTCAACTGTGCATTCGTGTGGACTATTGCAGGCGGTGGCAAGGGCCAGTGGCTAACACCGGAAGTTATGAGCATGTTCATGTTCCACTCCATGAGGCCCATGACGCTCAAAGAAGAAACGGATGTGTTGGAGGCCCTGGTGAGTCCCCGTTACAAAAACATGTATTGGAATCCCTTCGACACAATTGACACGGATTGTTAATGGGTACCGCAAAACGTGCCCGACTTTCGTTCTGACAGTCGTGTGGTATGTACCCCATCAGGACACGTTTCCCGCGTCGCGCGCTGCTACTTCTGCCGTCCGGTTCAGGTCGGCGCGAGACCCGCGGTACTAGCAGCCCCGTCACCTCGTTGTTTACTTGTACCACCTCGGACCTCTCGTGCCGCTGCACAGCCGCCGTGGTGCAGCTGGGCAAGTCCCTGCCGCCCGCGCCCGTCCACCGCCGTCTTGCAGTCGGCGCCGGCCTGACGCCTGCCCTGCGCGCGGGCTCAGCCGTCCGCTCCTCCGCGTAACACCACCCAGCGCTCCAGGCCCGGCCGGGTCATCGACTCCGACACGGTCCGTGGTAGGGAGGGGAGGGGGGGGGGGCGTCACCGGCACAGGGCGGCGTCTCCAGCGGTGCCGTTCGTGCGTGCCGGCAGTGCGGCGAGCTGGGGCCGCCGGTGCGGGAGGTGGTGCGGTTCAGCCACGCGCTGCGCTCAGCCGAAGACCCCACCCTGCAGTCGCTGGCGGCCTCGCTCTCCACCCGCCAGCTGATCCGCATCAGTCGGCGCATGCGCGCCTACCCGCACGAGGAGCCGCACGCCGCCATCTACAAGGCCTGCCTGGCCAGGTGGGTGTTGACGGCCGGGTCGCCCGGGCCGCAGACGCCGCGCAGTTTGGCCTGCCTCTGGTCGCAGACGCACAGAGGCTGGGTCGGATTTGTGTGCTTTTTTGGCTATGTGCGGGCTCCTGGTGGTGATCTCGAGAGACTTGAAGATCGGGTGAATGACGGTTTATCGCGTCTTGCTGGACTGCTACCTCGTTCGTCATGAACCGTGTCGAGGCCGCCGGATAAATGAGATTTAAAAGGCTGCGCGACTGTTTGTGTGGCGCCTGTCCAGGGCTGAATGTCGGTTGCACGCCTCCTCCCCCCCCCCCCCCAGTTTTCTCATTCCATCGTACTCTGCCGCCGCGAGTGCGTGAACCCCATCCCATCAGTGACGGCCCCGCTCCGACCAGGTTCCTGCCGCCGCTGGCGCGCCAGGCGCTGGACGACGCGCTGAAGCGAATGAAGATCGCGCCGCCGGAGGTGCCGGCCGAGGCGGCGCGCGTCTGTGAGGTGCGCGACGGCGTGCTGACCATCGGCAGCACCTCGGCGCCCGTCTTCCGGCCGCGCGATAAGGCCAAGGTGCCCGACACGCTCTTCTACGACATTGACCAGGTGAGCGGGCGGTGCCGGCGGCGGTCGGTTTGGCCGGATGCGGGCTGGGTGCGGACGGCGGGGACCGTATGTGTCACAGACGGCTGCACTAGATGGGAGCAGGGTGCTGGCCAGACGTAGATTTACGGCATGAAGGCTTACCACGTGTCCTACGGCTGTCCCGGCGTCTGTTTTGCTAGGACTACGAAATATTTGGCGTATTTAGACGCTATGGATGTATTATACACATTTGCAATATGAATTTCATGGAATGCCATTTGTATGTTTACACAGCATGTCAGAGAAATGCGCGTTTATTTGTATGTCGGTGCTATGCGCTGAACAAGTTTAACATTTTGTATTGTTTTGTTTCAGCACACGGCAGTGCTAGAGGCTATTTTGGAGGATTTCACGCTCGGAGAGAACTTGCTGTTGGTCGGCAACCAGGGCGTGGGCAAGAACAAGCTGATCGACCGTTTCCTGTTCCTCCTTAATCGACCGAGAGAGTACATTCAACTGCACAGGTTCGTACCAGTCACGAGCACACTGAACTCATTTGACGATATGTACATTGCTTTGATGTCATAATGTCTCCATCCATTCAATATCGATGGATTTGCAGGTTCTTTAGGGTGCTGGGTAGGCTCATCTGCGCTTTATCAAATTTGGACCGCCAGCCGCCAGACCGGCTGACTGCACTGGCAAAAACAAAGCGGTTATGAACTACCGAGCACCTCCCGATGGCAGCTCACCCCTCCAAGGACGCCACGGTGTAGGTGTCCCTCTGACTGGCGAGTGTCCACCCCTCGAGAGACAAGTGTCCCCCTGACTGACGAGTGTCCACCCCTCCAGGGGCAGGTGTCCCCCTGACTGACGAGTGTCCATCCCTCGAGGGACAGGGTGTCCCCCTGACTGACGAGTGTCCACCCCTCCAGAGGCAGGTGTCCCCCTGACTGACGAGTGTCCATCCCTCGAGGGACAGGGTGTCCCCCTGACTGACGAGTGTACACCTCTCCAGAGGCAGGTGTCCCCCTGACTGACGAGTGTCCACCCCTCCAGGGACAGGTGTCCCTCTGACTGACGAATGTCCGTGCCTCCAGGGACACCACGGTGCAGACGTTGACGGTGCAGCCGACGGTGCGGGACGGCCGGATCGAGTACGAGGACAGCGCCCTGGTGCGCGCCGTCCGCACCGGGCACGTGCTGGTCATCGACGAGGCCGACAAGGCGCCCACCCACGTCACTTGCATACTCAAGGTGAGGAAGGCGCGCCGCGTGGCCGCGCTGGGCACGTGGATAGCTGGCGGAGCGCCGCGCCCGCCCAGGGTGCCGTGGGTGCCGTGCGGGGGAGGGGACGGCGTGCTGAGGGGTGCTGTCGAGCGACGCACACGAGGATGCGCCGAGCACTCTGCTGGCCAGCTGGCTGCTCGTGCAGCCTGTCTGTCTGGTCTAAGACGGCGGAGGCTGCGCACTCTGCAAATATTTAGAGCCCCCCCCCCCCCCCCCCCACCACACCGCTATGTCCCTTGGTTTGTATGCTAGCAGTGCTTGATATGCACCCGGCGTTTTCGGTCTGACTATATCTAAGCGATGGATTGTAATAGCCATGATATGTTTCGGTGCTGTTGTCGTTGCCTCATCCATGTGTATTTTTAGTTATTGATGAAAGCTCCCACGGGGTCGCGGCAGACGTTCCACGTTTTCGGTGTTCCTTCGGGACGGTCTCGACCATGCAATTGCTGGCAGTATCTCGTCTGTAGTACGTATGTGACTGCGGGCCTGCTCCGATGTCTCAGGCCCGGTAGTCAGAGGACTGTTCCGGGCCCCAAAGTGAAGCCGTGACCCCGGGTTGGGTCACCGCACCTGAAGGTTTGTTTAAAGTTAGGCCATGGCCGCTAGCGCCGCGGGCGCGAGCTTGCACGCTGTTAGCCCGAAACAGGGCGATCGCTCTCAAGTCGCTGTCAGCTCCTGGGTAGGAGCCGGTCGGGGAAAAACCTACCGAAGTCAAGCTTGATCCACACACCTCCCACCTACACGGACGCGCACATTAGCCAACTGCGCCGCCGGGATGGCGGACCACGACACCATAAACTCATCGTCGTAGCCATTAGACGGTTCAAGTTCCCAAGTGGGTGCCGGATGTCTGAAAACCGACCGTCGACTGAAGAACGATCTCCGCCACTGCTGCATCGCAGAGAAAGGTCTCACCAGAACATCACGTCATATGTGCCACCCAGTCACTTACGCTGACCGCAAGAGTCAAAAACCTTTGGCATGGTATTCTCGAGATCCAGATATACAACCCACGCAAGATTGAAATGACCCAACGTGCAACGAACCACGCGCACCATCCCACATGTACGCCACAAGCCCACCATGTCATTGTCAGTCTCGCACTCGTGCTCTGCTGCACGTCCTCGCTCGGATGCCAGCGCTCGTGCGACCAGCGCTGGTCACCCGCCGTGCTGGCGCTGGTGGCGCCGTGCGCGGGCCAGCACCGACACAGCCAGGTCGGGTGACGCTCGTGTGTGACACCATGGCCCCGTATCTGATACAATGCGGACGGCGATGTAGTTCGAGGGTCCACGTGCCTACCGTGTGGCCTTGTTTGCGCCCCCTGGGTTCGCCGCGCTACCTGCGGCCCGGTCAGGGGCGGACCTGGCACGCTGCCGACCGCCCGTCGTCCGGTCTATCGCCTCCCCCCCCCCCCCTCCCCGTGCATGTCAGATGCTGACCAGCAGCCCGGCGTATGTTTCAGACGTTGGCCGGCGGGCTGAAGTGTGTTTCAGACGTTGGCCGGCAGGCTGACGTGTGTGTCAGACGCTGACCGGCAGCCCGGCGTGTGTTTCAGACGCTGGCCGGCGGGCTGACGTGTGTTTCAGACGCTGACCAGCAGCCCGGCATGTGTTTCAGACGCTGAGCGAGGACGGAGAGATGACGTTGTCGGACGGCCGACGGATTCGCCGCGGCGCTCCGTCCGACCAGCCAGACGTCATCGCCATGCACCCCGACTTCCAGATGGTGGTGCTGGCCAACCGGCCGGGCTTCCCCTTCCTCGGCAACGACTTCTTCGCTGCCCTCGGTGGGTTCTCTTCGCTGCCTCCGGTGGGTCTTACTCGCCGCCCTCGGTGGGTCTTATTCGCTGCCCTCGGTGGGTCCTCTTCGCTGCCCTCGGTTCCGAACGGCGCGGCATCGCCTGTTAGGCTGAATACCCAGGGTGGGGACTGGGGGACAGTGGGCTAAACACGGCATTTGTTGCGAAGGCATGTGTGTTTTTTTTCGCCGAATTATGAAATTTACTCAGGTGGGCGGGTAAAACCATTGTAAGTAAGGATGAGTACGGAGTCGGCAAGTCCAGTGGGTTGCAAGGACTAGAATTGATAGAAATAAATAGCGGAGCCTAAAGAACATGAACACCCTGAGTGCACCGAGCAAAATGAATTCGACGACCCGGCCGGGAAGTCTGAACGCTTGCCGTTCCTTGAACACTCACACCCGCAGCTAGCTCATGCTGAGCTCTAGCTATCATGCGCGGTGAAGCGTGGCTGACGGCTGTCCGGTGCCGTCGCTATCCCGTGCCGACGGTGTCGTCTGACCCGCCGTGGCTTCGATGGCAGGTGACCTGTTCAGCTGCCACGCCGTCGACAATCCGAGCGAGCACTCGGAGCGCATGCTGCTGAAGCAGTACGGGCCCGACGTCCCCGGTAGGTCCGGCGGCGGCCGGCGGCTGGCCGCTGCTCCCAGACCCGCCTGCGGCGCCGCGCCGCGCCAGGGTGCAGCGAGTTGACGGCGGGTCGTGGCACCACACGCCCTGTGACACATCACGTGTCCGGCTCGTTTCTAGAGCACTTGAGCAGCATTTGGCGTGTGTCTGGTGGAATCATGTTTGTACGGAAACTATCAACTCAGCAATATGTCCTACGGCCGCCCCTCTGGAGAGCTGACGGCAGCGTGTGTGTGTGTGTGTGCGTTTGTCTGCTCTTCAGATAACCTGCTAGACAAGGTGGTGGCGTCGTTCGGCGAGCTGCATCAGATGTCTGACCAGGGCCTGATCGCGTACCCCTACTCCACGCGAGAGGCGGTCATGTGTGTGTGTCTGCTCTTCAGATAACCTGCTAGACAAGGTGGTGGCGTCGTTCGGCGAGCTGCGCCAGATGTCTGACCAGGGCCTGATCGCGTACCCCTACTCCACGCGAGAGGCGGTCATGTGTGTGCGTTTGTCTGCTCTTCAGATAACCTGCTAGACAAGGTGGTGGCGTCGTTCAGCGAGCTGCGTCAGATGTCTGACCAGGGCCTGATCGCGTACCCCTACTCCACGCGAGAGGCGGTCAACATCGTCAAGCACCTACAGGTGAGGGCGTTCGGCGAGCTGCGTCAGATGTCTGACCAGGGCCTGATCGCGTACCTCTACTCCACGCGAGAGGCGGTCAACATCGTCAGGCACCTACAGGTGAGGGCGTTCGGCGAGCTGCGTCAGATGTCTGACCAGGGCCTGATCGCGTACCCCTACTCCACGCGAGAGGCGGTCAGCATCGTCAGGCACCTACAGGTGAGGGCGTGCGCCCCCGCCCAGCCGACGGCGCCGCACCAGTCACCGCTGCCGGTGGGACGATGAGAGCACCCCGAGTTTGATGGCGTGTGTACGCCCTGTAAGGCGGCGATTAGCTCTTTACTACCCAGCACGCCCGCGGAGGAACGCTGTGATGAAGTCTCGTTGCCCCTGTAGGCCCTGAGCTACCAGGTGATCTTAGTGTTCTCATCTGCACGCGAGGTCGCTGAGCTATCAGGTGATCTTGGTGTTCTCATCTGCACGCGAGGTCGCTGAGCTATCAGGTGATCTTGGTGTTCTCATCTGCACGCGAGGTCGCTGAGCTATCAGGTGATCTTGGTGTTCTCATCTGCACGCGAGGTCGGCCTTCGTGACGGCATTCGCCGAAATTCGATCAAAGAGGTTACCGGAGGACCAGCGTCGTGTCTGTGTCTGACGCTGTGCCTGTGGTCCCCCGGCAGCGGTATCCGGAGGACCAGCGTGGTATCTGTGTCTGACGCTGTGTCTCTGGTCCCCCGACAGCGGTACCCGGAGGACGGGCTGGCCAGCGTGGTGCGGAACGTCTTCGACTTCGACTCATACAGCGTAGAGACACGCGACTCGTTGGCCCAGGTGCTGCACAAACACGGCATCCCTATCGGCGCCAGCGCCCGCAACCTCCACCTGGCCAAAGAGTAAGCCCGGTGGCGGCCGGCCGCGGAGGTGAGGGGGGAGGGCTCGGCGCCCGTCCTCTCTGGCAGCCCGCTAGGACCCAACCAGACGGCTCGGCCGGTGGCTCAGGGCTGCGGAGGCACGCGTCGTTTTTGGCGCGAGGCGCAGGCAGTGTGCTCCCGCGTGAGCGACATCTGGCGATGCTGCGGCAGTTATGCAGTTGACTCCGCGCTGTCGTGATTCACGGAGAATGCCCATTGGCGCGGCGGGTGTCTAACAGTGACCTAATGATATCCGTGTTTGTTTTT